CTGCAGTTTGCCACGCCAGTGTCTATACCCTGAGTGGGGCTGAGCCTGAAGGGAGTTTTCCAGTGATCTTGGGACATGAAGGTGCTAGAACCACGCAAAGTGGTGGCGAAGGGTTTACTAAGCTGAAGGCAGGTGATACTGTCATCCCACTTCATATCCCACAGCGTGGAGAATGCAAATTTTGTCTAAACCCTAAAACCAACCTTTGCCAGAAGATAAGACTTACTCAAGGGAGAGGATTAATGCCAGATGGTACCAGCAGATTTACTTGCAAAGGAAAGACAATTCTACATTCCATGGGGACCAGCATGTTTTCTGAATACACAGTCGCGGCGATATCTCTGTTGCTAAAATTGATCCGTTAGCACCTTTGGATAAAGTCTGTCTTCTGGGCTGTGGCACTTCAGCTGGTCATGGTGCTGCTGTGAACACTGCCAAGGGGGAGCCTCGCTCTCCTGGTGCCATCTTTGGCCCAGGCGGAGGTGGACTGGCAGCCAGCGTGGGCTGTAGGTGGCTGGTGCATCCGGATCGTTGGTGTAGGCATCAATAAAGATGAATTCACAAGGGCTACGGAGTTTGGAGCCTCTGAAGGTATTAACCCCAGGAGTTCAGGAAACCCATCCAGGAAGCGCTCATTGAAATGACTGTCGGGGGAGTGGACTATTCCTTCGAGTGTGCTGGTAACGTGAAGGTCATGAGAGCAGCGCTGGAGGCCTGCCACCAAGGCCGGGGCGTCAGGATGGTGGTTGGAGTAGTGGCTTCAGAGGAAGAGATCACCACTCGCCCGTTTCAGCTGGGAACAGGCCGCATGTGGAAAGGCACTGCCTTTGGAGAATGGAAGAGTGTGGACAGTGTCCCAAAGTTGGTGTCTGAATAGATGTCCAAAAAGATTAAAGTTGATGAATTTGTGACTTACAATCTGACTTTTGACCAAATTAATGAAGCCTTTGAACTGATGCATGCAGGAAAGAGCATTTGAACTGTTGTAAGGCTATAAATTCAGCAGAGAAAACATGTCCATCCTTGTACCTAAGTCCTGTGGTCTGACTGGCACAGCCCAACAAGCAGGGAGAAGCTCTTCCAAGTTCACAGCCTCTTAGACCTTCTCTACTACCACTTCCAGAGTGACCTACTCTAGGCAATAATATTTTGTGTATAATTCATAAATCTCTAATCAAGGACAGGGCTAATACAGTCATAAATCTGTTTTCTAAACTCTCCTTCACATGAATAACTGCTCGCTCATTAAGGAATATTTTAATATAATAAAAGTAATTTCTGCAAAAAAAAAAAAGAGTGGGGAAGTAAAACACAGATTAGAAGCTCTGTGTGCTGGAGTGGGAAGGGTTGTTGAGCCTCACTGCAAAGGGACTTGGCTGGGTCATTTGTTGAAAAACTGTCAATTTCAACAACCTTTAGGTTGTTTTCTCTTGGGCTCCAAAGACTTTCCAATTTCCAAAGATTCTCCAAAGACTTTCCAATTTCCTGTTGAGAGAAGGCAGAGAGCAGGGGATGGAGGGATGGAGAAAAGCCTCAGTGTATATCCATTCACATAGTGCTTGTTTTCAACACAACTGTGGCTCTCAACTTTGTCACAGTGTATCTGTTTCAGTTTCTTAGGGCTGTGGTAACAACATACCACACACTGGGGGGCTTAACAACAGACATTTACTGTCTCACAGTTCTGGAGCCTAGAAGTCTGAAGTCACAGTGTCAGCATGGCCGGGCTTTCTGAAGGCTCTAGGAAGAATGCATTTCATGCCTCCCTCCCAGCTTCCGGTGCTTGCCAGCAATCTTTGGCATTCCTCGGCTTGTACACTTGTCACTGCAATCTTTTTTTTTTTTTTAAAGATTTTATTTATTTATTTGAGAGAGCGAGAATGAGAGAGAGGAGGGTCAGAGGGAGAAGCAGGCTCCTCGCTGAGCAGGGAGCCCGATGCAGGACTCGATCCCGGGACTCCAGGATCATGACCTGAGCCTAAGGCAGTCGCTCAACCAACTGAGCCACCCAGGCGCCCAGCAATCTCTGTCTTTATGTGGTGCTCTTCTCTTGGTGCGTCTTCACAATGTCGTGTGCGTGCGTGTGTGTGTGTGTATATCTTCCTCTCTTCTAAGGACAGTGGCCAGGATGGATTTAGGGCCCATCTTCTATGTGGATGTTTACTTTGTTCTGCCCCATCTAACGATTTTAGGACTGAATCATTGGAAAGAGAATGGGAGGGATGTTAAAACATGTCTAAGTTGGGCACCTGGGTGGCTCCGTTGGTTGAGCGACTGCCTTCGGCTTAGGTCATGATCCTGGAGTCCCAGGATCGAGTCCCGTGTCGGGCTCCCTGCTCAGCAGGGAGTCTGCTTCTCCCTCTGACCCTCCCCCCTCTCATGCTCTCTATCTCATTCTCTCAAATAAATAATAAAAATCTTTAAAAAAAAAAAAATGTCTAAGTTTAGAAAAACCACGTATGTCCACAAATTCTTCAACACTATCCCCAACTGAGGTGGAATCTAATTCCTCTCCCTTGAAGAATGGCTGGACTTGCTTCTAACAAATACAACACATCAGAAGTGTGACTTCTGGGGCCAAGTCATAAAAGGTAATACAGCTTTTGCTGGACTCTCTGACATATGCCTTTGGAGTCCTTAGCTGTCATGCAAGAAATCTGGCTACGCTGAAGCCTCCATCCCAGAGAAATCACGTAGAGAGAGGTGCCCCAGATTCCTGAATGTCCCAGCTCTCAGCTGTTTGAATCTTCCCAGCCCATGTGTCGGATACAAGTCAACAACCTATTGAGGAGACACTAGTCCCAGCCACTATCTGATCACAACTGTACGAGAAACTCTAAGTACTCTCTACCTGAGCCCAGTAAGTCCCCAGAACTGTGAAAGATAACATAAATGCTTGTTATTGTGTTATACCACTAAGTTTGTGGTGGCAGTAATACTGGATTGGAACAGAATAGCAGAAAGGGAAAAGGGGGTGGAGAGGTAAAGGAAGAAAAAGTACATATCTTTTATAAAAATTAAAAAATTTGGGCACCTAGGTGGTTCAGTTGTTAAGCGTCTGCCTTCGGCTCAAGTTGTGATCTCGGGGTCCTGGGATCGAGTCTCACGTCGGGCTCCCTGCTCAGCGGGAAGCCTACTTCTCCCTCTCCCACTCCCCCTACTTGTGTTCCCTCTCTCGCTGTGAGAGGGAGCAGGCTTCCCGCGGAGCAGGGAGCCTGACGTGGGGCTCGATCCCAGGACTCTGGGATCATGACCTGAGCCGAAGGCAGACGCCCAACGACTGAGCCACCCGGGTGCCCCATAAAAACATCTTTTAAAAAAATTTTTAAAAATTTAAGATTAAGGGTAATGAGATTGAAATGTATCTTTTAAAGATTTTAAGTTATCTCTACACCTAACATGGGGCTCAAACTCACAATCCTGAGATCAAGAGTCACATGCTCTACCAACTGAGCCAGCCGGATGCCCCGGAGATTATTTAAGAGAACTTACAAACATGCCAGTGAACTTGATGGCAACTGAAAGATTTCTTTCATATGGGGCTAGGAAGCTCAATCTCTCTTGAAGTTGACAGAGAAGGGTAACTATTTCACGCTTATCTCTGCTCAGTATTTTCCCTTGTAGGATGACAAAAGAGACTGCAATCCACACTGTATACTGAGATAAACATCGTAAAAATCAAGTGTTTTGCTGCATATGTTACATATGTTCAGGAAAAAATACCTGGTTATTTTATCTTGAGGGTCTTAAATTAGGATGGTTTATGTTGTGACAGAAAATCCAACTCAAATTGACTTGCAAAATAGGCAGTTTATTGGCTCACAGATCAACCTAGTGGTGGGGCTAGTTAACCTGCAGACTTGTTTTCTCTTAGCTTGGTTGGGACCATCTTCAAGCTCTACATAGTTATTTATGAACAGGAGAGGAATCTCAACTAATGGGACAAATTTTAGGAGTATGATGAGTCTAAAGAAAGAGAACTCTCAATCTCAATTTAGTGATTTGCCATTGATGAGAGCCACTGATTTCTACAGAGTAATGCCCTCTGAACCGGGCCCGCCAAGCTCACCTTGGTCAAGGAAACGTGCAAGCCCTGCAAGCTGGTCACTACACCAGACTGGGATTTACTAGCAAAATACCAAGAGTGAGGAGGATTTGAGGGAGTATCACTGGAGAGAGGAGTGTGGCAAGGGACAGGGACTACCTGAAGTCTAGTCTCTCAAGCAGGAAACAGCAGAAGATAAAATTTCTCGGGGCTGAGTAGAAGGTGCAGCAAATTGGATGAGGCAATAGCAGAATGAATCCTCCCATGGGGAATATCATTTAAAAAAAAAAATTAAAAGATTGCAGGGACGCCTCGTTGGCTCAGTCAGAAGAGCATGCAACTCTTGATCTTGGGGTTGTGAGTTTGAGCCCCACGTTGGGTGTAAAGATTACTTAAGAAAAATAAAGTAAGTAAAATAAAAACTTAAAAAATAAAAGATTGCAATATTTGGTGCTCAAGGCAAGTTATGACCTTAAACCAGGAACCCTCTGCTCCCAAGAATGTTATTCTCTCTCCTCCATTAAGAAAAACTTGGAGTAACATTGTTTTAACTCCATCTTACTCCCTCCTGCAATAATGGGCTTTATTGTTGTTTAGTTTTTATTTCATAATCATAAACTTAACTCTGCATTACAGCTAGACTTGAGATAAGGAAAACCTGGAACCCAAAGAGCAGTGAGAACACAAGGATTAGAGGAGAATGCAAATATTTTTTCTGAATCAGGCAGTAATCTTTTATACTTGTTAATTCGTTACAAACAGAGAGACTACAACTCCAGTGCTAGACTACTGGATTGAACACCTGGATGACTTTCTAGCTATACAACTTTTAACAAGTTACTTAATGAGCACCCATTACAGCTCTGTGCATGGGAACACAGTACCTACCTTCCTAAGGTTTTTGTGAGGACCAAATGATTTTTTTATTCCTATAAGTTTAGTTCATCTTCCTAACGTGCTTAGAACAGGGCTCAGCACATATCAAGCTTTATGGAACTGTTACCTATGATGATGATGATGGATGATAGAAATGGAGACATTGTATTTTGGAAGTCTTGTTTGATCATCAAAAATTTGTTTAGAAATACCCCTTTATTAGGAAACATACAAACCAAAAGTTTACAACTTCTTGTACATGTTAAAAACTTTCAATAAAGATCTCTCGGATACAAAATATGTTCCAGTGGTTCAAAATTAATTCTATGATATATTATTCTAATATTATACTTATTTTGAAAGACTCGTTTTTTTAAATGGCAAAAAAAACCCAAAAATCACCGAGCTGAAAGTTTTTATTTTGCTAAAATGTACAAATTTAACAGTCCACACTCTAAAATAAACATTTAACCACTGATGATTTCCTTAAGATGCTGTTCTCCCTCACAGTTCAGATGCCTGATCTTCTGTGAAAGCCCAACTTGCCTTCCTTTCTCCCCAGCAAGGTCATCTGTCTTTTTAGAAGTCTTGCCGGATGTTTTCTTTGTTTGCCTCTCCATGCTGCTGCTTCATTTGAAAGATTTCATTTTCTAATTGCACAATAGTCCTTTCAATCTCGTAATTCTTACTGACCAGGGATACCCAACTAGAAAAGTAAAAAAAGGAAGAAAAAAAATGAAAAATTACTCAATATAAAATTTCTCTTAGAAGATTTTACCATATACATGTTTTCAGGCAGGGTCATAATGTGAACCTTCACTTCTCACTTTCCATTTAAAAAACTGAGGCACAATCAGGGGAAAGTGGGTAAAGGGTACATAAGATTCTAGATGTACTGGGTGCCTGGGTGGCTCCGTCGGTTAAGCATCCGCTTTTGGCTCTGGTCATGACCTCAGCGTCACGAGATCGAGCCCCACACCAAGCTCCATGATGAGTCTGCTTGAGATTCTCTCTCTTTCCCTCTCCTTTCCCCCCTGTCCTTCTCCCGTTTGAACTCTAAAATAAATACATAAAATCTTTTGTTTTTTTTTAAAGATTTTATTTATTTATTTGAGAGAGAGAATGAGAGAGAGCATGAGAGGGAGGAAGGTCAGAGGGAGAAGTAGACTCCCTGCCGAGCAGGGAGCCCGATGCGGGACTTGATCCCGGGACTCCAGGATCATGACCTGAGCCGAAGGCAGTCACTTAACCAACTGAGCCACCCAGGCACCCCTAAATACATAAAATCTTAAAAAAAAAAAAAAAAGATTCTAGTTGTATTAGCTCTTACAAATTAATGTGAATCTGCAATTATTTCAAATTAAAAAAAATTTTAACAACCAAACTAGAAATAACTGGAGAAAGGACGAGGTGATGGAAGATTATATTTAACGGGATTAACATAAAAGGAGAGAAAACAGGGCAGAGGCAAGAGTTTAAAATGGTGGAGAAATTTCTAGAACAAGAGAAAATTCCACAGATCTGAGCAGCCTTCCTCCTTCCCCAGAAAAATCAGGACAAATGAAAAGAAACACACATGTATATTTGGGAGATTATATTAGCTTGAAGAAAAACGTGAAAAGATGAAGAGATTGATAACATGGAGTACATGGAGGTGGAGAAGGTGGAACAAGGAGAAAGATGGGGAGGAAGAAGGGAAATAGCAAAGCAAAAAAGAGAAATGACACAAAATTCATGATTACAGGGATTCATATAAACTTATCTATGCATATGAAGAACATTTTAAAAGTAAAATATATAAACAAAGGAAAAAAACCTGAGACACAGATGATCAAAGTATGAAATCTCCCTCCCTCATGAGTTTAAAATATAGATACATTTTTTCCTTTTAAACGGAGAGTGTAAGTAGAATCCTATTCAGAGCAGAAATACTGAACTGAAAATAGGGTGCTCTGAGACCAGAATCAAGTGACAGTGGTTCTGTCCCTCTCACTGCCTTCCAGGTCCACACATCAGAGACAGGCAGAGGCAGGGAGGAGTGGGATTCAGAAAATAGTATTTCTGGGGCGCCTGGTGGCTCAGTCCGTTGAGCGACTGCCTTCGGCTCAGGTCATGATCCCAGGGTCCTGGGATCGAGTCCTGCATCGGGCTCCCTGCTTGGCGGAGAGCCTGCTTCTCCCTCTACCTCTGTCTGCCGCTCTGCCTACTTGTGATCTCTCTCTATCTCTGTTAAATATATAAATAAAAATCTTTAAAAAAAAGAAAACATTATTTCTCTGACACCTGTGGCATCCCATTTGAATACTGTTGAATCATACTGTTAAATCCTGATCTTAAAATGTGCTAAGCGATTTAAAAGATGATGGAAGTGAAGATACTCACGTTGACTCCATTTCCCTTAATTTAGATCCAGCTGTGAGTTGCATGTTTTTTCGCTGCCAGTTTAAATCTTGAATATGTTTCCTGCAAAAAATTATTTATACAACCCACCTACATTTTAACATAAGACTAAAATCAACAGAAAAATCTACAATCAACATAATACATCTTTAATTCCTTGAGAAGAACAGATGTATACAGTAACAGACTAATTCCAGGAATTAACTTTCTTCTGTTTTTCAATTACAAATTTCATAAAACAAGCTCACCACAAAAAATTGAACACATACACATACATGCACACACAGAGATTAAAAAGCAGAAGTCCCTCCTCCCATGTGCTTCTCCTTCTAATTACTGTTCAGTTTTTGGTGGGTGTTTTCCCAAACTCTTTCCTATATGTGTATGTGCAAGTAGAGATTAATTTTTTTTAAGTAATCTCTACACCCAATGTGGGGCTCAAGCTCACGACCCCAAGATCAAGAGTTGCATGCTCTACTGACTGAGACAGCCAGGCACCCCAAGATGAATTTTTTTTACATAAATCAGATTATACATGTTCTGCAACATTTTCTCCTAAAAGTGCCTTTTCAATGTCTGCAGATTTGCAAACTACAAATGACCTGGTAGAAATGTTTCAGACGTTAAGTCTATTTCTCTTCTACTCCAGTAGGGCAAACCCAGCACTGGATGCTGGACAGAGTGAATCATCAAGTATTACTCTCATATGACTACAGTCCATTGGTTCCTTTTTCTTCTCATTCTGTTTATTAAGGGTTCACCTAAACTTTATACTAAAATAAGAGGAAAATAGGGGCACCTGGCTGGCTCAGTCAGAAGAATATGCGACTCTTGATCTTGGGGTTGTGAGTTCAAGCCCCACACTGGATGGAGAGATTACTAAAAAATAAGAGGAAAAAACAACTTACCTTAACTTCTGGAGCTCTTTCTGTGCATGTTCAATCATATGAACTAGATTTCTAAGGAAGGAAAAGAGGAAAATCAGATTAATATACATTAAAATTGAATAATACCAACTAAAAGTGAGCTATCTAGTTGATGCAAGTTCCAGTTATTCTGCTATTGAGCTCTGTGCCAAATACCATGCCATGTGAGACACACTATACATATTAGCTACTTTAATTCTCCTAAGAATTCTTTGAGGTAGGTATGATTACCCCTATTTCACATGTGAGGACATTGAAAGCTTAGAAAAATTAAGTAACTTGGCTAAGGTAACATAGGTGAATGTCAGACTGAATTCCATTTCAGGTGTTTTAACCTCTTGAGCCCAACCAGTTTACTGACACTCTGATTTCCTGTACCAAGTCACTTCTTAAACTGTCATTACTTTTCATGGAGAACATGGAAAATAACTCATATGAGTGTATTCATTCAAATCCCTTATTATCTCCATATTTCTGTACCTACATTTAACCTGCCATTCTCCCCTCCTGTCTACTGCTAACTAGAGAGAGAAGAGAAAACTGGAAGGCTGGAGATTGTGATTCCAGTACAAGTCGGCTCTCACTGGCACAGGGGAGAAGCTGAGCAATACAGAGTGCCATGTTATTACTGTCATTAGAGAAATGATTCAAGGGTAGGGGCCACCCCCACGCCCCCTCAAGTAACAGCTTTACTGAGATGTAATTCTCACAACCGTACCAATTTCCTCTTAAGGCAGTAGGGAATCACCTTGAGGGTCCATTTCAACCACATCAGCCCTACAATTTTCTTGCTCTAAATCCAGTATTGTTTCCTGGCTTTCATGATTCAAATATCCTGCTTTTCTCCTAAGTTATTTTTTTATCTCTACTGACTGACTTTTTTCTCACTAACTGCAATTCTCTGAAGATTCAGTCTTCAAACAGCTGTGTCTCTTCAGGCTTATCTACAGCTCATCCCCCTTTCCTTAACTTCTACGATCACTCCATGCTCCTGACGACAATTAAGCTTGGTACTCTAGTATTGACCTCTGACTTTTAATAGGAAGCTTCCCCTTGAACGACCTCTTTCTGAAAGCCCAGTTTATTTGTTGTCTTCTCCTTTCTTTCATCCTCCGTAAGAGATACTGTGTGTTTGGTTTCAGACCACACAATAAAGCAAGTGTAGCAATAAAGCAAATCAAATGAACTTGTTCTCCAGTGCATATAAAAATTATGTTTATACTATATCGTAGTCTATTAAGTGTGTAATAGCATTATGTCTTAAAAAAAAAAAGTACCTGCCTTAATTAAAAAATACTTTATTACTAAAAACTGCTAACCACTGTTCTGAGTTTTCAGTGAGTTGTAATCACTGATCACAAATCACTGTAACAAATATAATGGAGAAGTCTGAAATACTGAAAGAATCCCTAAGATGTGACAGAGACAGGAAGTGACCAAATGCCATTGGAAAATGGTGCCAACAGACTTGATGAGGCAAGGCTGTCACAAACCTTCAATTTGTAAAAAATGTAATACAGCAAAGTATAATAAAATGAGGTATGCCCATATACAGGTCCCTCCTCAAGCACTCTGAACATATTTCTATTAAAACTTATGGCACTGCATCATGGGAGTCAGAAGACTTGGGTTCTAGTCCCAGCTCTGCCCTAAATAGCTGTGTGTCCTTGAATGAGTCACTTGACATCAATGAGGCTAAGCCTGTTTATCCGTAAAAACAAGGGCTGACCTCGAAGGTTTCCCTTTAATTGCAAGTACATAATTCTCTCATTAATGAAATTTTTTTTCCAAGCGGTCATGAACCAAGACCTACTTAGAGCTGAAAGCTTTCTGCCCAGCATGTTTGATGCCCTCAAATCCTTTCACAAGGAAAGAGAACTTACTTTAATAATATGGAAAGACAAAGAAGTGGATTAGAGTAGAGCCTTAAATAAACTGAATTTGGGTAGACTAGGTGAAGGCATTCCAGGAGGAGGCGAGGCATGAGTAAAGGCCCAGAGACAGAGTTATGATAATCACAAGAGAGAGGATTCCTTTGGATGGGGTGAAAGTCTACCATTGAGATACACAGCCTTTTGCCTTGAATATCATGTTAAACAGTCTGGACCTTACCTTGCAACAAATGGGAAATTATTAAAGGTTTCTAGGCAAGTTAAAAGCAATGTTTTCTTTTTTTTTTTTTTAAGATTTTATTTATTTATTTGAGAGAGAGAATGAGAGAGAGAGAAAGCATGAGAGGGAGGAAGGTCAGAGGGAGAAGAAGGCTCCCTGCTCAGCCGGGAGCCTGACGCGGGACTTGATCCCGGGACTCCAGGATCATGACCTGAGCCGAAGGCAGTCGCTTAACCAACTGAGCCACCCAGGCACCCAAAAGCAATGTTTTCTTCAATGTATTATTTTTTTCCCCTGCATCTATTCTCTCTTCCCTTCTTGGGAGTGTTCTCCCTCTCTTCTAAATGTCCAAAGCTCACCATTTTAATTTTTTTAAAGATTTATTTTAGAGAAAGAGAGCATGGGGGGAGAGGGGCAGAGGAAGAGGGAGAGAAAGAATTTCAAGGAGCCCAACACGGGACTCAGTCTCAGTACCCTGAGATCACGACCTCAGCCAAAATCAAGAGTCAGGCACCAAACAACTGAGCCACCCAGGTGCCCCCAAATCTCACCATTTTTAAATGACTTTAATTCCTTTTTTTTTTTTTTTAAATGACCTTAAGTCTTAACGTCCCTTCTGTGGATGTCTGTAGTTTATAGAGCACAGCACACAATATGGCACGTGCCCCCATACTGCTAAAAATGGACTACTGGTTATCTGGCATAGAAATATCTTGTGTCCTCAACTAGGTAAAGCTTCTTGAGGACAAGATCACATTTTTCCCCTTTGTGAAATACAGACCTTTTTTTTTTTTTTAAGATTTTATTTATTTGCGAGAGAGAGAATGAGAGACAGAGAGCATGAGAGGGAGGAGAGTCAGAGGGAGAAGCAGACTCCCCGCTGAGCAGGGAGCCCGATGCGGGACTCGATCCCGGGACTCCAGGATCATGACCTGAGCCGAAGGCAGTCGCTTAACCAACTGAGCCACCCAGGCGCCCCCAGACCTTTTTTTTTTAAAACATTTTTTTGATCAATCTGTTTCTTAATCCTCCCAACCCCATTTTTCCTTTATCTCCCTTGCAACATATTCACAAGGGAAATGGAACTGTTTATGCTATAGTTTCCCAAATTCCGGATTTGCCCACTGGATCCTTACATGGCCAAAGAAATTTAAAACATAATTCTGAAAAATTGAGAAAAGGTATTTATCACTTTGTGATTTTGCTTTATTATTCCAGGAAACATACTTTAGCAAATAGTTTGATATAGTGTCATGAGGTTCAATGGCTTTTTCTTCTTAAATTGTTAAACTCCTTAAGCTATTAAACTGCTAATACACTCAGGGGATTTTAGGGCTCAAAGGCATCACAGACATCATCTAACCACCAAATTTTACAAATTATAAAATCAAGCCCTAGATAGGTAACAAAACCGAAAGCTAGTTACACGGAACAGAAACTGGAGCTCTGTGGCTTCCGTGGGCACCTTGCTTCCTCTGTTAATTCTCTACTTATAGTTAATTCTCATTATTTACAGATTCTGTACTTGTGAACTTACCTATTCACTCAAATTTATTTGTAACTCCAAAATCAATACTTGCAGCGTTTTGAGATCATTAATAGCATGCACAGAGCAGCGCAAAATTTGAGTTGCTGGATATGTAGATTCTCAGCTGAAGTGGAACAAGGAGGCACTCTGACTTATTGTTTCAGGTGTCATACAGAGATGACCAAAGGATGGAGTTTAATTTCCAACGCTGCCAAATTACTTAAAACTTCTGAATTTGTTTTCTCTTTTATAGAGACAGGC